ACTTATCTTTAGTTTTGAATTAATTAAGTTGAAAATATCTTTTTATAGTTTTTATCTTTTAAATTTCTATATATTTTATTCATAAAATAATATTAATTTATTTTAAAAAATAAAATAATAATAAAAACAATAATAGAATTAGAAAATTTTTAATATGCTGAAGATGAAATTTTATTAAATATTAATATCAAATTTATTTTTATTTATTTTTCATAACAATTTCACCATTTCATGCCACTTTTTTTGCTTGAGATTTAATTGAATAAACAAATAATTTAGTAGTCTCCTTTGCCCCCATAAAGTGAGTTGGTCCGGTACAAAGCAAGTTACAACTTTTGCCGTAGAAATTAATTAATTATATAAGTTTAGAAAAGTTTTAATTTTATATTGAGTTTGATTTAAAATTTAATTTTATGAAATATAGATTAAAAAAATATAAAATATAAATAAAGCGAAAATTTAAATAAAATAACTATTAACTATATATTCAAAATAAATAAATATAAAATTTAAGAAAATTATTTTAAAATAATAATATAAAATAAAGTGAAAATGATTCATCAAATAAATTAATTAAGATTCACTTCTACAATTTTCCTTAATTATCATTTTAGCTACCTAATATGGATTATAGTGGTTAGCCCCATACCTCCATGCCAAAACTTATTTAATTAAGATATAAACAAAATGATTTAGAGATTAATCAATGGCTTGCATCAATTATAAGCATACATATACATATACATATATATATATATATATCATCAGGCTTTAATTGATGATTTCTTACTCCAGTTTGCTTAAATGGCTATCAAATTAAATTGTTACTTACCTTCACAATCACAAAAAATCAAAACACACCTTAACATAAATATATACCATACAAAACTCATATTCACACTAACAATTTGTATATATTACATATTTAGTTGGAATTTACTTCACATCATCTTTTTCACTTTTATAAAAATAGAAATTGAAAATTCTGTTCTTTCCTACCATAGAAATAAAAATATATTACATTGTATTAAAAAAAAAATTATATATGTATTCAGAATATTACCTTAATTTATGTTTATGTTGTGAATTGAAGAAAAAAAAAATACAGTGAAAATAATATTTTAATAAAATTTATTTTAAAGTGAAGGAAGTATATATAGTGCTTTTAAAAGTATTGTCAACATGAAATACCAAGTTATGTTTAATTAAATATGTTATAAAATTATCAATAAATATTTATATAATAATTATAATTATTTAAAAATAATATCAAAATATTTTCTTAAAATGGGTCATGGACTCACCTAAAATACGATAGCTATAACAAAAATTAATTCTATAGTCCTAAAAAGTGTGAACTATATTCTTAGCCCTTTCCCCACAATTTTTAATTAAAGAAAAGAATGGTCACGCCCGAAAAAGGTGTTATATATACATATATATATATATGTATGTATGTATGTATGTATACACATATAAAGAATATTTGGTAAAGAAAATGCTTATTACAAAAAGTAATAAAAAATGAAGAAGTGTAAAATTTTAACAATTTCTACTAGTGTTTTGGTGAAAGGCATAAAAGTAGAATTGCTTTTTGCATTATTTGTAAGCTACATGTTCACTGTTGAAAACATGCTTATGTAATGTCTGTATATATGTATATTAATATTAATATTACGTATCACATTAATTTGTATGTATTGCAAATAGACAGAGACCAAGCTTTAAATAAGCCCTAATCATAAGGGCATGTGCCCTTTCATATGAGTAATAATGCTGCATGCCAGTGAGCAGCTTCTCTCCTACTAAGGATTCTGGGAATGCTCAAAAGGGTACTCACAGAATTTCAAGACCCTCTTTACCATTTTGGCATATCTCTTATCCAAACCCATGTGGATATTAGAACCCAAGATGTGTGTGTGTGTGTGTGTGTGTGTATAAATATATATATATATACACACACGTTGATTGTATATATTATTATGCCACACACCAAAAAAAGAAAAAAAAAAGCAGTCCAAAGTTCAGCTTAGTGGAGGTCACCACAATTCTATTTTTTTTTTTTTTTCTAGAAATAGAATCAATTCAAACGATCTCTTCAAGTCATTTAGTTAAATTTGGACTCAAATTTCAGTAGTAATAAAATTGCAAGGAAGATGATATGGAATTTTATTCAGTGATTTTAAGGGCTCAAGTTTCAAAATATTTCTTCCAACATATTGAATCAGGTTTGGAATTTTTCAGGGTTTTTATGGATTTCAATGAACAAATTTGCCGCAGCCTTTCCAGGGAATTAATTCTTTTTTTTTATGTAGAAAGCAAATTGCCAAACTAATCCTTCTTTTTTGAAGATGAAGTCATTACAAACATAAGTTTATGATATAATACCATTTTTCAGTATATATATATATATATATATTTGTATAATGATATTCAGATACTAATCAATAAACCCATGTTCCAAAAACTTATAAATTTAAATATACAGAAGTTTACAAAAAAAAAAAAAAAACAGAACCATAATTTAAATTAGAATCAGACCATATCATTGTAGTTTGTCTTTAATTTTCTTTTTTTCCAAACAAGAAAAAGAATAAATAGAACTTACATCAGTAGAAAACACTAGCGGAAGACTTTAGCCTTATCTGTGAACCACTAATTTTTATGTGGAGTTGCAGAGGAAAATTTGATTAAATATACTGAATGATATGAAGTCAAAAGCATCTCTTTGCTCATGACAGAGAAAGCATTGAGAATGAAATGTTTGGTCCCGAATGGATCCTTTGAATTCCAAACCAAAATGACCTTATAAAGAAGAAAAGCAAAAGGAATCCAGCTTCCAGAAGAACAAATTCCACAATGCCAACACTATTTCTGCAGATAAAAAGCCACTTATCCCACTTCAATGGATATCCATCTTTTTGACTCCCTCAAAATCCTCCACAAGAATTATCACCTACATTTCTACTTCCATATTTATAACAACAATGCCAGCCAATCTTACGGCAACACCTGTTCAGGGATGAATTCATCACTGTACAGATTTTAATATTTTTGAAATTTATCACAAACAGATCTTGAAATGGTGTGTTTTCTGAATCTAATCAAACTGTAAAAAAAGCATAAATCAAGATCATATACACCGTTTAAGTACTGTACATAAAGGAGGTCGGAATCCACTCTCTGCAAGCAGGCAAAGGATTTCCACTAACGCTAGTACATGTTCTATCGAGGGGGGTTCCTTTACTTAATTGTTTCACTCTTCCTAATCAAGCAAACATGTGAGTAAATATAAATGAATAGAAAGATCAATATAACAAATTCCCCATTCAGAAAGAAAAGT